GCCGGTGGCCCCTGCGGCGGCAGGGCAAGACCCGCCCCGGCTGCCTGCAGCAATTCCTCTCCCTGGAGGCACTGGCCACACTCGGAGAGCACCATCTCCAGCTCCACCAACTGTCCCTGCCAAAGATGGAGCTTTGCCACATCCTCTGTGACAGCATCCCCCCTTCCCTCCCCACGCTGGAGCCGAGTTGCTGCAGAATCCCCGAGCCCTGGTTCTGCAGCTCCACCTTGTCCGCAACACCGTTGAGTTTTCTGCTGCACGTCTCCTCCCAGAGCTGCCTGAAGACGCTCAACCTTTTTGGCACCCACCGCGCAACAGATCGAGGGTTTCCTAGAGCGGCTCCGCACCTGCAGTGCCTCATGCTGCGCTTAGTGTGACATCACCGACATGTGAAACATCTCCGGTTCTCGAAGACGAGCGATGCTTGCTTCCTGACAAGCGCAGGTCTGGATTCTTCGGCAGCCCCGTGGCACCTGGAGGTGCTGTGCCTTAAGCTCCGCGGTAATAATTCCCTCAGGGCCATCATTGCTTTGTGCCAAGCGCTGCCCCAGCTGAGGAACCTCAGATTAGGCAGGACTTACTTTAAAAATAAAGTCATCAATAAAATTCAGGCGAGTTTTCCCCCCACTGTGGGTTTTCACGTGCTCTCTGACACAGGGCCCCAACCCGTAGGGCTTTTGCTGCTCATTACCGTGCCTTAAGCACTCCTTTTTGGGTAAAGCCTGGGGTTGTGGTTTTTTGGGTTTGGTTTTTTTTTTGGAAGGGGGAGCTGCTATACATGCTTTTGGGAGCAAAATTTCAGCTGGGGCTAAAACAGTGAGTGGGTCATGTAAAATGTTTTTTTGGGAACTTTGCCTTTGGTCGGATCCACCCCCTCTTTTCCACAAATTAGGGGAACGGAAAAGCCGGGGAGCACCCAGCCTTTGGGAACCCCACCGATGGGCTACAGGTTTAACCTCTGCTCGCTCCTCTTCCCCCACCACCAAACATCAGGCAGCGCCTTAACGAGCACAGGATTCGAGGAGCCAAGCGAGGCGCCCTCCTACTGCCGAAAACACAATCTGGCAGCCCAAACCCCAAACTTCCAGTTAATATCTAACTCCGATTGCTAAACCGCCCCGCACGTATGCTTCAAACGCTGCCGGGGAAGAAATACCTCAGTGACACAGCCCAGAGCTGCTGTTTTTGTGGAAGAGCTCAAGCCATCTGCCCAGACAGCGAGCATTTTCAAGTCTGGGATGTCATCTTTGCTTTTATTTCCCTTTAAATGCAGTTCAAGTTACTTTTCAGGAAGGTTTTTCGTCCTCAACGCCCAGTCCCGAGAGCCACACGTCCCATTTGTGCAGCGACGGGACTGCTGTTACCTCCGGGTTTTCCTGGGAGCAGCCACAGTTCCTCATCGCCCTTCACTGTCCGCGTCCTCTTCCCCAGACCGTCATACCATGAGATAACCGACCCTGAGCGTTGTGACTTCGCTAGTCTTCAGTCTTTGAGTCAGCCAAGGATGTTTTTAACTCAAATACTGTGTTTATTAAATAAAAATGCTTTTGATTTCTGTTTTCTTACGCTGCACGGTTTTAACTGAATTAAAATCTTTGTTAAAGAAATGGGGCAGTTTTTGTAGACCGATCAGCATCCTTGTGTGTTAACAGCTGAGGAGCTGCTGTCCTGGGATGAGGGTACAAGCGGGGACGTCGCGTCAGCACGTTAACTCGGCTGCGGCGCTCCAGCACTTGGCACGGGGCTCCCTCGGGGGGAGACCCATCGATTTGTCTCCCGCTTTAGTCAACCCATCGATTTCGTCTCCCACTTTAGTCAACCATTCCGGCCTCGCAAAGCTTTTCCCCTCGCGGCAGGGAAACGGGCGGAATTACAAAGAGCTCAAACACAGGCCTGAGTCCTGGAGCCCCAATGCCCCGATTCCCTCCCGGCGGGAGTCCCCCACGTTGTTCGCGTCCCCCCACGTTGTTCGCGTCCCCCCCTGCTCCAGGGAGGTGACCTGATGTTTCCCACCATTGCTCACTGGTGGGTTTTTCCCCCCCGCCTCCCCTCGGGACAAGGGCATTCCCCTGGGAAGCACAGAGGGAGGATTAATGTCCCAACGGAGCCTTCTCTGGGCTCAGCCTGGAGATCCGGCTGGTTTCACCCCTCCCCAACTTTGCCCTCTATTCAGTTTACGCGATAACCCCTTCGGTTTCGGACAGACCTGGATGGCAGTGACCTCCCTGCTGTGACGAAATCCTCGTTGCTGCGCATCTCGTTAACGGGTCTTTGTGCCCTGGCCTCCTTTCTGTTCCTCCACACAACCTCGGTGGGGCTTTGGGGCAAATAAACAGTGGGAAAACGCCCCAGCTCTGCTTTGGAAAGCATCCCAAGGCTGCTGGCTTAATAACTGCCGCTACGTGTTTATTGCGGGCTGGGAGATTTACACGGGAGTAATTAGCGTTTATTAAAACTTCCAGCACTATCTGTCCCAGCACTCTCTGGGCTCGGAGAGCGAAGGTAAAACGGCAAAAGGGAAAATTAAAACCAGTAAAAATCCATCAGTCAGTCAGTCAAGGCGCGGTGCGGCGAGAACCTAAACGCTCTCTCAATGTCTGCGGTGGGAGGTTTGACGGCAACGGCGCTCCGAACAGCGACGTTTAATATTCCCCCAGTCCCAACTTGCCGGTTTTCCATCATCTCCGCCGAGCGCGGAATCGCTCAATGCGGAACAGCGATTATGCGCGCACGTGGCACCGAGTGGGTTTCGTAGGGCTGGAAGTAGGAGGGGGACCTGGAAATATGGGATGACCGTGGGCAAATTCTAGGAATAAAAGGACTGAAAAGGTCTTTTTAAAATCACCAAATTCTGTTTGTGCCCCGGGAGCACTGCAGCTCCCCCTCCTCGCGCATCTACTGGAGCTTTTGGAGGGCTCTTCTCGACCCTTACTGCTCCTAATTTCCAAATTCAGGAGGTTTCTATTCCGTTTATCTCTGTTTCCTCTTTTGCCAACCTTTACCTTGAAGGGTTCCTCCCCCAACCGCACCTCACCGCTGCCCCTATGCGCATCATGACATCAAAGCCCATATTTTAAAAAAAAAAAACAAACCAAAACCAGAATAAAAGCTGAACCCTCAGCAAAGCCAATGTGCGAACCGGCAGAGGGTCCCATCGGGGGCTGAGAGGAGTGGAAGTCCACATCCAAAGTGAAAAGAAAACTCGGAGGAGCCCAAAACCTTCCAGGAGGGAAGCGACCTTGAAGGAGCAACCTGCTCCTGCGCCTCTGTCACACGTAGATTTATACGGCACAACATCAGACCCGTGTCCGTTTTAATCTGTCAGACAAGCGCATCCGTCAGGGCGGCGCTTGTGCCTTCAAATCCCCTTTCCAAGCCAAAACTCATTTCCCATTTTCCAGACCCGCTCGTTTCCAAAGCCATCCAACCCTTCGCTTGGAGGAAACACCTCCAAAAACTTGAGAATTTGCCCCTTTTTCACTCCCAAAGGGGGTGGGGAAGAATTACAAAGAGGGCACCCGCCTGGAGGAAAAAAAAAAAAAAGCCCTCCAGACGGCTGAATGATTGGAAGCGGACACCATCCAAACTGCTATTTTTGAGAGGACAAACCAACGGGAGGCAGCCCGAAAACAGGCGGGTTAAATTATAACCTTTGGACTGAACATCCCCAGAGGTACCGCGAGGTCTCAGTTCCAGAGATCCCGGTGAAAAAAGCTTCTGCTCGCTCCGTCCTACGCTGCATCCCACACACCTCCCCTCCCCCTTCCTCCCAACCCCGACTCACCAGGATGGATGAGGAACATCTTCATGACGACCTGCGCGTTTTCAAAGGTAAACTTCAGCCCTTCAAGCCGCCACCTCGAGGAGATGGGCAGGAGCAAAGAGGGGAACGAAGACCCTATCTTGCGTCATGGTCTTTCTCCACCAACACGCTTGGTTTCTGAGGGAGAGGAGGGCCTACCTTCTCCTTCCTCCTCTTTTTAGGCAATTTAGCTAATTAGAGCTAACGGGGTTGATCGGTTGGGATGGGGGAGCCCACCCTGATGAGCTCATCCCTTGAGGCTGAGGTGGGAGCGGAGGGAAGGGGACGCAGCTGCGGGTGGTGGCCGTGGCTGAGATGATGGTGTGAAGCTGGTGGTGCCCAACCAGCGGCACCTGAGAGCGTCCGGCCTCCGGAACGTCCCGGACCGAAGCAAGACAATGTTCTTCCCACAGCTTTCCCAAATCGAGCTCCCCAAACCCCATGGCCCCAGCAGCCTTGCAAACCTCCCAAGGTTGGACGGTGGAACCCAAAGGGGGTTTCTGAGGTTCAACCCCTCCGAGAAGGACACCCGACGCCACCTTGGGACACCAAAGAGCCCTCCTGACCGCGGACTGTCACTTGGGGAACGATATCCCTTTTGATGAGGGGCACTGGGCAGCCAGGAGGGGTTAGAAACGTGTCACAGCCCAAACCACGCAGAACAAGCTTATAATTTTCTGTTTATTTTACTTATGCGGTACCTGAGATCTGCTCCGGGGCTGACGCTGTGCGACGGCAGTCGGGTTTGGGGAGCTTTCAGCCCCCCGGGTGGGTCCTAACAGGAATGACCATCAAAATTTTGGCTCCTGTAGCAAATAGCTAACCGCTCCGGGTTATTTATTAACCCTTCTATAAATGGAACCGGAGGAGCTTTGAAAAAAAAACCAACCAAACACCACCTCCCGGTGACGCGAGGGGAATATTTCCACATTTCTTTTGTTTTCTTTTAAAGACAGAAACTTCTTCCAGCAGAAGCTGAGATCCTTCTGCACGGTGTACCTGCTGTTGGGCCTCTCCTTTTTCCTGATCATCACCCTCTCTGCCGTCTCGCTCTCCAGAGGTACTGCCACTGAGCTAATTAATTAGGGAGGACCAGGAGATCCAGGAGGTCCGAGCGCACTCTCGGGCTCTGGAGGACTCTGCAGGTCCTCGTTCCACAGGACGGGGCCACCAGAGGAGCTCCGGGACCGTCCCATGTAGCGAACGTCGACATCCGTGCCACCCTCTAGATGCAAAATATATTTAAAAATATACAAAAATATACAAGTATATGTATTTTTCTATTTGTATGTATGAATATATAAAGATGTGGAAAAATATACAGTCATATTTTTAAAGATATGTAAAAATATATAGGAATATATAAAAAGATGTGTAAAAAAATATAGGAATATATAAAAATATATAAGTATATATTTCTATATACAAATATATAGAAATAAAGATAGTAAGAATAGATATACAGAGAAATATATAACAATACATATATAAATATCTAAAAACCATATATAAGTATCTAAAAACCATATATAAGTAAAAAACCATATAAATCTAAAAATACATATATAAGTATATAAAAGTACATATAAATACATAAACATACATATAAATATCTAAAAATATATCTATAAATATCTAAAAATATATCTATAAATATCTAAAAAACATATGTAAGTATCTTAAAAAATATATAAGTATATAAAAATACATATAAATACATAAATACATATATAAATATCTAAAAAGCATATATAAGTATCTAAAAATACATATAAATACCTAAAAATACATATACACATATATAAAAATACATATAAACATCTAGAAATGCACCTGTAAATATATAAAATACACATAAATACATAAAAATCCACATATAAATCTATAAAAATCCATCTAAATACATAAAAATCCATCTAAATATAGCAAATCTTGGCTAATCCAAGCTATAAACCAGGATTTTAAGTTTTCTGGGATTTCTTGGCCCCGGAGGCTGCCGGAAAAGCGCATCCCCGGCGGAATAAAGCCGCCAGAAGGAAACTCGCCTTTAGGAGCGGAACCCGTAACCGCTGTCTCTCCGTCCCTCTCTCAAACAGTTTCAGCCATTTCGTCTAAACTCAACGCGCTGCGCCCGGAAGAGAAACAGAACCAGAACGTTTCCAACCGGGATTTTCTCCGTAAGTCCCGGCCGCTGCCCCAAACCCACTCACCTTTTTTTTTATTATTATTATTTTTGATTTTTTTTCCTGAAGCTTCCCTAAATTCTCCCCGAAACGTCGCTGCTTCACCAGGTCATCCATCCCCCTCCCCAATTCGCCGCTCCGCCACCGCCAAACACTTATATTTTCGCCAAAAAAAAACCCAAAACACAACAATTTTTCCTTGTAACAGTATTTTTTTGAGGCTTGACGCCTCCGCGGCAATCCCGTATACAGTCACATCCTGGCTGGACCAGTTTGGCACTGGGAAAACCCTCTGGCTGGGACGATCCCAGTGCGGACCGGCTCGGCCGCCCACGACCCCCCTGACTTTCCCCTCCTTTTCCTTTTCCCAGTGTTTCCCTGCGGACCCGGCTCCAGGGAATGGGAATATTTCGACGGAAAATGTTATTACTTCTCCCTCACCCGCACCAGTTGGCACAAGGCGAAGGCCCAGTGCGAGGAGATGCACTCCCAGTTGGCTGTCATCAACAGCTACGCCAAGCAGGTACACGCAACCGCCTCTGGGCAGGAAAGCCCCAAATTCACCTGAATTCTGCCCAAAAAAGACAATCCTGCCCGGGGCCCTCCCTGGTTCCCCGCTGCCATCCCGCACCCCCGCGCTGCGCCCGCTGCTGTCATCCTGCACAGCAGCCAGCAGAGAGCAGGCAGAGCCCGTGCTGCCTGCTGCTGCCTGCTGCTGCCTG